GTAGATATGTTTGGGGTTGGTGATACTCCTCCCAAGTGGCAGACTTCTTTCTTTAGTGTGCCCCTTTTATTTGTACAATCCTTTGTTATTTCTGTGTAATGTAATTTGTTCATGACCAGGGATCACTCCGCCTTTTTTGCTCTTCCATATAATCAATCAGTATCTGAGTACATAATATTCTTAGCTGTAAATAACATATCCTTCCACTGAATTCAGTTGTAGCAGATATCATCATCAAAAATGTAGTACCCAGGTAATATCAGATACATGTAGTAATGATCTCAGGTGCTCTCAATTCACTTTTCTGTAACAATTGTGAAAAAAACAATTTCTGGGATTTGCACTGCACTTAAGTTATACGAGAGATCAAATTAGTAATTGAGTTGTACTGTAAGAAAAGTTAAATGGGTTGATATTTTTCCTGGTCAAGGTTCTTCTGGCTGGCTGCCATCATCAATGGAATACAGTCTGTGTTCTTTTACTGTGGCTGCTCAGACTTATGAAGGGTCCGATTATCAGAGAATTTACTCTCACTCTAAGTGACAGTAGTTTTATGCAATTACAACATTTTGTCATATTCTAAGATAGTCTTAAGGTAAATCTGAACATTCTGACTGGTTCTTTCTTGGTTGGGATTTTGCCATACAGACCATTTCCATGAAAATGGGCATAAGCTGTGTATCTTTTGTATTTGAAAGCCTGGCCTGAGTGCCATATAATAAAGTACTCTCTAACCTATAGTGTGTGTAGCTTGCTCAAGCCGTACTAGAGAATATTGGCCCTCAGTTGTTCTGAATGGAGTTCGCTGTGCTCGGTCCGTATTGCCAGGACCTAGGGCAATATTCGTAAGCATGGCCCTCTCGCTGGGCTAGTATTAAGAGGTGAATACTGAAAATAATTTTCAGGCTATCCCATAGGCCCTCCACATTATATTTACAAATGCTGCATTACATTGTTTTGTAGGAACAAAGCAGAACTTTTTTTAAAATTATTTTGGTCGTTATTTTAAAAGGCTCCTTTGTTCAAGGCAGGCCACCTTTATCAATGGTACACAATCAGTTGCCATTTCCTGCATGCAGTCAGACTCCAGGTCAAACTTCTCAGACACAAAGTCGTCATCCTCAGAGTGAGTAGGAACTTGTCTAATATGTAACCAAACCAGTGCATTAACTGAAACTGGGGCCACCCAGACAATGAAAACCAATCAGATGGCAGAACTGAAACAATAGATTCCAACATTTTCAAATCCAGCCGATCAAATGTCCAGTTTAAAACAATGAAATCTCAACTTGCTCGTTGTGATGCTTACGCAACTACGGTGTCTGTTAACAACTTTTCAAGCTCAAGGCGTTAGTACTTTCATGTTAGAAAATATTGTGTTACTTAACTTTAGATTTTGCATTGACAAACGTGGTAAACTCATTAGATTGACTGTTTTCCACTGTTAACATATGGCCTCACTTTTACGGTTGTTGTTTAAAATTGTAGAATAATAGATTTTGACATAGATTTTGATTATGCGTCATGCATAGAAACCTCCTCTGGATGGAAAAATCGAAGATATTTCGAACAAAGAATTCAGGTTACAAGTCCATTTTTGTATCAAGTTAACTTTTAATTTCTCCAGCTTGAAGTTTGCTTTCAGCTTCTTTCAGTTACTTTGAAAATAAAACCTTTCCAATTCATGCATTTCGAACCTGTGCACATGCAAAACTACTCAGAGACCATTTGAAGGGTTTCTTTCAAACAGCCGCGACAGTATTCAAACCCTACCTCCCTCACTCTACTGGTGATATATATTTACGAGTGACACTCTTACGCAGCTTTTCTTTTCATTTTTTTTCTAAACCAATCAACGACCCCATAGAAAGTGCAGCATATAACTTCTCTTGTGCCTGCAAGCACGGCCACAAGCACTCGAAACTACTAACAGTTTGAGCTTGACAATTTATTAACTGACACCGTCATTGTGTTAGCATCACAACGGACTAATTGGGATTTCATTGTTTTGTACCAGACATTTGATTGGTTGGATTTGAAAATAGGACATTTGATTGGCTGGGTTTGAAAATGTTGAAATGTATTGTTGTGCCATCTGATTGGTTTTCGTTGTCTGGGTGGCCCCAGTTTCAGCAAAGGCACTGTAAATCCATTGGGACAATTTTTACCAGTGTCGAATGTAGAGCAGTGTTGTTCCCAGGCAGAACTCAAGATCTTTGTAAACAAAAGCAATAAACTGGTTAAATTCCACGTTGTTGACTCCTCAAGTTAAACACTTCACTTCTTGAAGTTTACACACCTTACATGAACATCTGAATGAAGTCACACTCTGAAGCTCTGTCCAGACATTGTTTGGTGACCAAACATGTTGATGTTGTACTGAGAGCCGGGTCTAAAGTACAGGTCACATTTCACAGGTCAAGAGTAGAAATCCCAACTCTACTGATGAATAACTATGCCAAAAGTTTCCCCTCGATCTAAAGCAACATTTTTGCAGAGTGCTAGGAACAATTGTCACTTTAATCTGAAACATAAGCAATTTTTTGCCTTACAGATTTTTAGTTTTTCCCTGTTCTCATTTGATTTTAACAATGATGTTGGCTTTTTCCTTACTCAATTGCCGCGATGTTGACTTTGTAGCCACACCTTGTTGTTTCCAGGCTCCACGGATATTATGCGGTAGCGAGGTAGCGGGCCTCCTAGCTCCAGACTCCTTTTCCAATTTTATTTTTGTTTTTTTTCCTTTTCTGACCGACCGACCCAAAATCAGAAAATGCATTCGACAATAAATGAAAAAAAAGGGGATGGCCTAACTGACTCACTAAGGGCTGATTTACACGGTACAACTTTGTCGCATGCGACAAGTTTATGACAAGCCTACGACATCAATTGTTTCGTGTAAATCAAACCTACAACTCGCTTACGACTGTTGTGTACGTCCAAAAAATGTCATAGGATTTTAAAACATGTTTTAAAATGTTGCGATAATCGTAGCCGAAATCGATAGAAAATGACGTATTCTGTGACAAATTTCTACTGAGTAGGGGACAAAGGAGAAGTTTTCTTCTGTGAAAATGGCGGACAAAGTTGTTGTTGACTGATTCCCATGAAGCCATTTCTCAAAAAGTACTGAACGGATTACTAATGGTAATTGAACTGAGTGGAGTGCAATTTGGTCTGAAGTCATACGCGCGATTTCAAAATCGAATGAGCGCGCAGCACGAGTTTGATTTGAAATCAGAAGTATGATTTCAGACCAAAATTGCACGACCCGAAGTTCAATTGCCACTTTATTAAATCCATTTTGAAATCGCACAATTTTATCACCTTAAATTTAGATTTTTTGTGTATTGTTCCAGTCGCCGGTTTGTTAAAAAAAGCGGAACCGGAAATGCCTTTATGTCTCATTTAGTATGCAAAACGATGTCGTGATGAAAACTTATTCGAGCATGACAAAGAAACAAGCAGTTCTGAAGTCAGAACGAAAATAGTGTACTTCAGGGATAAAAATTCTTGTCGCCTGAATCAATTATGGAAGGCTGAGACTTTTCATTGTCTTTGGAGAAGGAATTTAAAGGTGCATATCCTGTGTAATTCTGCGATCGATTTCTTTTGATTTGTGAAACTCCCTCGAGTGCACGATGCCCAGTGGATAGTACATTTTTTTCCTTTTAAATACCATTCAATGGCATGACTTTAAGGGAGTCCAGCTCGTTATCATTTCCATTTCTTTTTGTGACCTCGGCGTAGGACTCAATACTCAGGACCTTGTCAAGTTCTTGTGGTGCCATTTGTTTTAAGATAATTATTTCCAAGATGGTGGCAATGGCACGGGCTTCGTAAGACGTTTGTTCATTCACTATTTTGTGCAGTGTTTATTCACAGCGACAGAGTTGAGCTCTTTTCTTGCTTTGTTTGAAACTACCGGAAACCTGGAAACATCTACCTTCTTGAGATGGCTCTGAATTTGTTGTTGTGTGGTTTTCGTTTGTTTATGTTTTACTGGACTTGGTATCATACGGATCTTGAGCAGATGTTGAAGAAAAATTGCCAAAATATTCGTCAAAATGGACACTGAAAGTTGGAAACTTCCATTAAAGTAGGTCTTCAGCCTGAAGGAGCTCATAATCGTCATTCAGAAACTGCAATTAATTAAATTTGTCAATTTTTTTGGAAGAAAACTACGATAACAACAAAGTTTTGGCAATAGTAGTTGCAAAATTCTCCACACAATGGCTTTTTGCCTTTCATTTTCCTGAAATTTTATTGATTACTGTAAACTAATCTTGAAATCTGATTGGTTGTTTTGTTTTATGGTCGCATTCTCATTGGCTGAGAAAAAGATGCGATTTAGAGCAAAAATAGTGCGATTCGTGAATAAATCGCACCACTGAGAGCCAATCAGATTGCAAGGATAACCAGTGATTTCAAAATGGATATAATAAAAGCGAAAATCATCTTGTTAGAAAGTTTTTTAAAAGTGCAGGACAGCTAAAAGATATGTTTACTGTTTGTTAGCACTTTCGCTCTGTAAATCCCGGAGCAAACTTTTGCATATTTAATATTGTAAGTGAAAGTGTCATGCGTGTGTAAATGGTCCTAAGTCATGTCGTAGGCATGTCGTAAGCTTGTTGCATGCGACAAAGTCGGCCCTAAAGAAGAACACACTGAGGAGTACAGATGTGTTCTGTGTGGGTCGTAACGCGGGTCGTTGTCATAAACGCAGGAAAAGTCCTCAGCATATCAGCGGCAAATCAAAACAAAATATGAGCCTGCTATATACATGCGTAAAGAAACTGCTGAAAATGGCGTGCTGTTGAAGGAATATCATTGCGTGCATGCATCCCAGGTAAATTACGGTAAACCTCCAGATTGTAACAAAATTATAAGATGCGACTTCTATGAATCTTTTCATTTCTAAATTTATGTAAGCAAAAATTCAACTGCTAGCCCTTTTATTTTGTATCAGTCAAGGCAAAACCAAGTCGCAAATTTGCAACTACTCTCTTTTTGATAAGTTAATATAGATGGTGAATTTTACTCTTGTTTTCCTAGTCGCAAATTCGACCGTATCAGTCGCAATTTCGAGCCTTGGTGTGTGAGCGGCAAGCCTAAATTTCTGTGCTGAAAGTATGATTTCACCTCTTACACCAAGTGTGGAAAAAGAAGATTTAATAAACAGGTTTGGAAAAAGGTCAGGGCTGTGATCTAGAAGCACCTGGGTACCACAGGTGACTAACTTCTGCCTTTGGGCAACTGGAAAAACTTACTTTTTGTATAAGCTCAAGTGCTGGGCACCTAGGATTTCATGGTTAGGACCCGGAACCTTTGGGCGCCTCGTAATTTTTTGTAGACCACAGTCGTGAAAGATCAAATTAGTGGTTCCAAATTTAACTTTTGTTTACAGAAATATGAACCTTAAAGCTTCTTTGACGCATGGTTTTGAGCAGCATGAGATACATGTTATGAATAAAGTTCATGTTTCATTGAAAGGATAGATGATGTTTTTTATTACAACTTTGATTTAAATTCTTCCTTCATCTCATCTGTCGTACAGTCAGACATAACAAGGCTGGAGGCTAACTGGAAAACCTAACGGTTCATTTAGCCCTCGGTCTCATTGAAGACAAGTGATTGCTGAAAGTGGTGTCATTAATTTGAATGACCTGTCCTGAACTTAAAGGCAGTATAACTGTATTTGCAAGGAAAAAAGGAAATAAATAAAGAAAAAAGATGATTGTAACAAAATCACATTATTAGTTTAAACTGCAAGCTTCTTGTCTTTCTGGTGTAGTTGCTTTTAAAGAAGGCAAACCTGGTGACGGTGACCTAGATGAGCTGGCAGGAATGATTGCTGCAAAGTGGCAGGAGCTGGGACTTCACCTTGGCATTTCTCAAGATAAACTGGATGAAATAGATGCTAATGAAAAACGTAAAGCGTATCGGATGTTACTTCACTGGAGAAATACAACAGCTTCAACTACACTTTACTGTGACCTCTACTATGCTTTGTGTCATCCTAGAGTTAGTCTCAATAACGTGGCCAAACAATGTTGTGGTAAGGAAACTACATTGACTTAAAATAAATTTCTGGCAACTCCAAAGGCCTCTACCTTATATTTACAAATATATAATTGTATTTTATAATTGTTTTATTGTATAGCCAACATCTTATTTTAAGATTATTTTCATTGCTTCTTATTTTCAAGGGTTCTCTGTTCAAGACAGGTCACCTTTACCAGTGCAACACATTCAGTTGCCTTTTGCTACATGCGATCAGACTCCAGTTGAAACTTATCAAACAAGTCACACTCAGAGTGAGTAGGCAAACTTTGTTTTATAGAATAATATTACCATCATGATCATAATTTTCTGTCACATGGTCCGTCAACATTCAGTGCTCTTGCAGTCTCAAACAAGGTGGCAGCTAAACAAACCCAGTTCCATGAGTTCAAGGAAATCTGCAATTTGTCGAAAAGTTAGTGTACTTACAAGTAAAGTAAATGTAATGTAAAATTCTACTTCAAAGGGTTTGAATGAATTACAAGTCACTTTTCATTGGTTCATTAATGTACCATAAAAGGTAAGAGATGTAATCATCATGGTTTACTATTTCTTATAATTCAGGAAAGCAGAAAAGGACATTACCACCCAGTTTCCAGTCCAGTCCCCAGGATCCTAAACAACCCAGACTCACAACTGCAGACCAAGCAGGTTTGTTACTGGTACAACAATAACAACAAGATTTATTTGTACTGTATCTGCTCAGTAAACTACTAACATACAGTGTATTAGCTGTAATACACTATAATACTGAGAACTGTCTTGTATTATTCATGTTCATTTGTTATGTAAAAAGACAACCTTAAGTGCAAGGAAACCCCTCCCCCCCTATTTCTTTTTGCTTATATAAATCACCTTGTTTTTCTGATCACCACTGCAAAAAAAATTATTGTTTTAGCTATTTTCATTTATTTTCTATGAATTTTCAAAGTTCTGATATTTGCCTTTTCCATGGCCATGACTGAGGAATCACGAAGAATGGGGCAAGTTGGCCTAACATCATCAAAGGACCAACAATGTTTCACTTCTGAGAAAAATACATGTATATGCGAACATGCGATAGTGTGAATCAAAATCTTTGCAGAATGTAAGGAAGATGTGTTGTTAGAGGGAGTAGTAGTACAGCATGCTTAGGAGAGAGCAATCCTCTTCATTCAATTTTTCTATCTCGATGACTCTCAACCTGGAGCAAAAAAAGACCAAGGATGTGGACTGATCTGTGCGAAGCTAAAGAGGGAACCATCAAGGAGTTCTTTGATCTCCGGTTCGCCACTACTGTAAAAACCTAGAGATTTTCATGGCCTGTACAGTATATTCTTCTCTAGCTTTTAGTGGAAAGCTTGACATTGTCAAGGTACTGCATAAGACGCGAATTTGGAATAAGCTGGGAGCCATCTGACTATTCCAAACTAAAACGATCCCCTGAGTCCCAGACTAGAATAATGGAAACCACAGAGTGATGATGAGAAAACTAAACAGCAAATTAAACACATTGCATTTTTTGTACTCAAAATAGAGACCTTTCTAAACGATAAATATATATACATGCATAGAGTATACAACGAAAGTTAAACAAACGATTTCTTTTTTTTTAATAAAATTATTTATTTCATGCACAACAAATTACTTTACAATAAGGTACTAAAAATACTAACAAAACGATACTAATGCTACTAAGAACAATACTAATACTGTGATACAATACAATTACTTACAAATTGATAAATTTAATTATAAGTTACTTACAAATGGATAGTAACAGTATGTACATTTGCACAGCTAGCCTCCAATAATTAATTGTTTAAAAAGTTGGACCATTTTATTTAAGAAAGTAGTTTATTTGTCATAATCGCAATATATTTTTCTAGTTCAATTTTTTCGTTAACAAGGGTTACAAAATCTGTGAATTGGGGTCTTTTTTCATCATGTACTGTGTTAATGTAAAGAAAATATTTTCCAATTATGATCAAGTGATTTAGGGTTAAACTGGATGATGTGTATCTTAAAACGCCATATAGTTTCGTTTTGCCCCAAAGCAATGTTTCCTCCGCATGTAGCGTTGTACCACTTTGTAAATTTATTCCAAATTAAAGGATTTAGCAATTGGACATTCCACAAATAAATGGAGTGGTGTTTGATCAATGTCATGGCAACGATTTAGATTTGACTCTAGAGCTACTGACGGAGATTGCCGAGCCGAAAGAAGAATGCGCTTGTCAGTCAACCAAAATGCAAACTAATAAGTCAAGAACTCCCAGGTTATTAGCTTATGTAAAATAGACTTTTCAAAATAACAGTGTAGTAGAAATGT